GTCAGCATGAACGCTCTAGTTGTTGGGGTTATATACTCATTTCTTCCGGAGGATTACTGTAATTGCGTTTTTGTGTCGCCGGGAAGTCGTTACGTGACGATTCGCTAATAACTGCACGCGAGACAGGAAATTGGCGTGTGCAGATTTCCAGGCGGCTATACGAGAGAACGAGGTACGGTAGAACGAAATTGTCGCGCACACGTCACCACGGCGAGATCAGATGGAAAAATCAATACGTATTTTTCTGCTTCTGCCTTTCTTGGCTCTTCGGAGGACACCTCGTGTTCGACTACAGTAATCGTCTATGAGCGTTTTGAGCGAGGCTTCCGTTCCGTAATGACACACTCGTACAAACACCGTATCTCGAAAACTCTAGTCGGTCAATGTGTACTGAGCGTTGTAACAATATTTTACACTGTGAGGTCAATTTCTGGCGCGTGTATTGCTCGCGGTGAGTCGAAAAACTGACGGTTGTCAACGTCGTGTGTTACGCGGACGAGCGCGGTACGATCCGTCGCGGAGGACACCGCCGGGGATTCATCGAGGGCTACGCATGGCGTACACGCGGTGATCAGCGGTGACATTCGTACGAGGAAACTGAGCGATGTTGATTTATGGCTATATGATCGTAGACGGCGGGATACACTAGATTAATACGTTAGTATCTCACGAGGAATCCCCGTAAAAATTCCCGGAGGGCGGTCAAATTCAGTCAAAATATCCAAAAAGGGTTGGAGATATCCCCAGGTTGGGTTGCGGGGCATTTTATCCCTTCAAAAACGAGAATTTCAAGGTCTCCGGGAGGAGTCGTCAGTTATAGCCTCTGGGAAACCATCAGTACCCTCTGTCGACGGTTCTGTGGGAAGATCCAACCCGCTGCTCATAGGGGATATACCATCCGAACAAATCAGCAGAGTTACCGCAGTAAGCAACTTTGATATTGGTAGAGCTGGCTGTATGCAGAGAAAGCTATCAGATTTTCGAAAAAGTGCACGTTACCGCGTCAGTTCAAGGCTAGTCGCTGAGGAGTCGCGCGACGTGTCGCACGCGGCTGTCGCGTCGTAGCGCCGACGTAGTTCAAGAGAACGTTACCATGCGCGTGAGTTCATTATTCTTGATGAAATGCCGATCGCTATTGCACGACGGACATCTCCATTTCTCTTCCGTGAGCGACACGGCGAAAATTATCGCGCGTGATCGCGCGGCGCGGGCGCGTGCGATACGAAATCGCTGCTATCACGCGATGACTGACGTCGTCATCGCTCTTCTCGCCCCTCGTTTAAGCCTAACCTTTTTCAGCACCCGTATCCATCAGAAGAGCAGAAGAAGCAGTTGGCCAACGATACGGGTCTCACCATACTACAGGTCAATAACTGGTGAGTCTTCTGATTATTTCTCATTGATTCGGGCGCTATCGCAACATACGGGGGCATTGGTGACAATGCATACAAAACCACTTAAAACATCTATCGGGTCTAAGGCCTAGGCGGGGAGGAGAGCCTTGAGGGTGCGTGAGTGATTTTCATTTTTTCCCGAAATTTCTGCCCCTCCTAGGCGTAGTCCTGGAGGATGCCCCCTCATTTTGCGATAGCGCCATTGATTCGTAACGTCATATTTGATATTATAACACCATTGTACGAAAAAGAACGTTTTCTCTCTTTCTCGATCCGTGACTTCTAATTACGTCGGTCAAGTCGTCCTCCGTCAAGCCACTGTTGTTTTAAAGCGTATTTACCTTGGTCGGCGGCAGACCTTTGTGGTGCTCTATCAAATTAGGCAAAGTGTTTGATATGATACGCAATCGGCGCTGATGATGGCGATTATGCAATCGCGCGCGTCTGTGCATCAGGGCTGAAATGCGAAACCGCCGTGGCCGCTGTGACACCAACGAAAACTCGCCACCCGTACGACCGTATGGCCTGTCATTGCAGACGATAATGGCCGATCATCTCACAATTACTCAGGCATGACCGAACGTGAATATGATGCGCTAAAGTGAATAATTACCATAAAATGGTTAGTGCTTATACGAGGTTAGCGATTGGGGATGGATGGGATGACGGTTCATTGCACGTGCGGGACAGTGCACAGCAGTGCTGGCTGGGGACGAAACCCGAATACCAACGGGGAAATCGTCGAAGGGGTGAGAGGGGGATAATCGTTCGAAGTAATTGTGGTGTTTCTGGGGCAGTTGTGGTCCGGTGAAAAGCCAGTTTTTTCCATGAGGCATCGATTTCGTCTACAGTCTACACATCCACACTGAGGCGGAGGTTAATTACAGCATGCTCAAACTACCTTTGTTCGCTCCTCAAACGCCACTCTCAAAAGGCCTTGTCCCGATTGACATTCGCCCTAACGTGCGCCCCATCCGAGGGACCGTTATGTTGTCGCGCGGACACCGTTCCCCTCAATGGACCCTACTTATTTTCTTTTGGTCCTGTGGTTCGGCTTGAAAAAATTTCAGGGGAGGGGGGAGGTAGAAAGCCTTGGAGATCCGCAATTGATCTGTATGGCAACCTTCAACGCATAGGAATTAGTTTTCTTAACAAGTATCTTGGGGAGGAGCTGGTGTAGTGGCAAGTGGCGCTGCTTACCATGCGCGTGACCCGGGGATCAAATCCTGGATTGTACATCATTCGTACCACCAAGCCCCCATCCCTCCGGGATTCGGCTGATTGGTACCACACTTGTCTGGGAGCGCAAAAACGAGTAATTATATAGGCCAAAATCCCAAGCTGCTACAACGATTCTGCATGGAAGTATAGGTGCATGGCGCATTCCAAAACGGGTTGG